ATTTTTTTTTTTTTTTTTTTTTTTTTGAAATTAATTATATCCCTTGTGGGAGACTATTACACGCATGCGCGCGCATAGCGATTTATTTGTCGCTTTTTGTTTTTCAAGGGATACAATAGGTGTTAGCGGATCCTTGAATCTAGGAAATTCTTTTTGCTCAATATTAATTATACTAATGGCATGATAATACGAGTTCCAAGCGTTCCGGTTCTCTTGTTCCCTCGTTTAGACGGGAATAGATTGTCAGGGGTTCGCGTTCCCCCTTTTGGCACACGACCTTTCACACGTGCCTCTCATTCGATGCAAACGTATTTCACGTAATTCGATTTGGTCGTTCATCGTGACCCTTTGGGTATATAACGTTATAGGCGCCGGTAGCGTGATTGCAGCCGGAAACAGTTGGAAACATAAGAAGAGATGGAATCTAGGGAATTTTTACGAGGCACTATTCCGACGCATCAATCTAGGGACTTTTGTTACGCTCGACGAACTAATTGCAATTATTACATCGACAGATCCGCCGGGTCGTGCGACGACGCTGGTCGTGATGGAATTTGCAAAAGAAACGTGCATTAAATTTTACCCGAATTATGAAAATTTGTTTGCTTTTTTTTTCACAGTCGAAAATATATTTTCACGTTGGTAAGACTTGAGGGATGCAAGATAAAAAATGAAAAATGAAGGCTTATGAAGTATTATAAATTTTTAAGGTGATTAAATTTTGACCTCGTCGCGGCAATGCAAATTAACGAGGCATTAACGGGTTTCAATAGCAAATTGGCAATAGAGGAGAGACGGCAAATCTCGTGCGGAATTAGTAATTAATACAGTATTCCCCGTCTGCAAATATTAATACAGTATTCCTTATGTGCGAATATCGGTAGCCCACCTAGGCCATTAGTAAGATAAACGTCCCAGTTACCGGACAAAGCGTGCGCGCGAGAGAGATGGAAATATGATTCCTCATGGACGTCCGGGGACTGGAACGTTTGCTTTACGTAGAATTTCGTCCCTTTCGTCTAACGACACGTTAATTCCGAGCTCATCTCGTGGAACCCCGAATTCACTACAGGTAGCCTTCCTGATCTTCCCTTGATTAAGTCAGTTTAAGACAATTTGTGCTCACTTAGCTAAATTCTTCTCTTTCTCCTCTACCCGACCTTTGTAAAACAGACGGTAGGCCTCAAAATCCCAGGACCAAAAAGATGCGGATTTTCTCTAGACGGCTCTCCGAAACCACGAGGCCCAACGAGGATGACCTTATCCAATGA